TCTCTGAAGGTCGCTGGCTATTTTCTGTGGTTCTCAGCACCATCACCACCCCTGCAAATTCTCTCCTGTTCTTATGGGCTAGAAACCTGCAAACTACATTTCCTAGATTTCCTTGCCTATAGGAGCAAAATGATCCCATGTATTCCTGTGGAATGTTAGTGTCTGGGTCCCAGAAGAGGGTTGGAAAATGTAGGAAAGCCTGTGCTACAGCCACACATGTTCATGAGAATCGTAGCTTATTCAGCAGGAATTTAGTGAATACTGACTGTACATAATGTACTTGCTAAATGCTGTGTGTGACACACAGATGCTTGTGCCTCTAAGAAACTTGGTAGAAAAATAATAACCCACACATATTTTGGTTAACTTCTCTTTGAATAGTCAGCAGTTTAGATTCAGTCATTCTTCAATTCATTTGTTCATTCATGTAGCCAAAATTTATTCTGAGATGGCTGAATCTAAATCTGACCGATGAGGTCTCTACTCTCATATTATTTTCTATTTTGTTCCAGTGAGTTTCAGAAAACATAGGCCAGACAAACATCCTTTGAAACCTGGACTTGGGAGAAGGGCCTGCTGAGACTGGGTTTTCTCCATTCCCAGACGCCTCTGATCAAATCCCAAGTCCCAAAGATGCAAGTGAGAATGTTTTTAAGTGCTCTGTGATTGGGACATCGGAGATGCTAATTAACCCTTCCTTGAGACGGGAAAAAGGGGCAGGTAGCTTTCTTTACATAGTGTTTAGGAAGGTGATTGCCAATCTAGGAGAAGTGAGTTTCCCAGAGGAAGGCGGGGCTCTTGGCCAGCAGGGTGTCCCATATGTTCCAATCTGCCTGGAGCTGTGGTCCTTGGGTTCACGGCGCCCCCTTGCACTAACGCACCCTAGCTTGGACGATGAATGCTACAGTCCTTTCTGCAGCTACCAGTTTTGTTTCCTGGGGCTGCCATAACAGAAGATCACAGACCAGGGGGTTAAACAACAGAAATGCATCTTCTCCCAGTTCTGGAGGCTGCAAATGCAAATCAAGGTGCAAATGCAAATCAGGGTTGGATTCTCCTTGGACCTCTCTCCTTGGCTTGTAGGCGGCTGTCTTCTGGCCAAGTCCTTGTGTGTCCCCAACTTCCTCCTGTGTGTGTGTGTGGATCCCTTACGTCTCTTCCTCTGCTCATAAGGAATCAGCCCTATAGGGTTAGGACTCCACTGTTATGACATCATTTAACTTTAATTACCTCTGTCAGGGCCCTGTCTCTAAATACGGTCAGTGGAGGTTTGAGGCTTCAGCATATGGGTCTTCGGAGGCCACAGTCTGTCCAGAACACACTGACCTTATCCATCAGGTACCGCCACACCAATGGCTTTCAGCCTTAGACAGAGCCCACCTGAGGCTGTAAACCGCCCAGGGTGTTAGGCAGGGAGAATGGAAGTCCACACATGTTAACAGCAGCATTATTCACAACAGCCAAACCGTGGACACACCCAAATGCCCATCAGTGGATGATGGAAACATGCGGTGTGATTTCTGCAGACAGTGGCATCCTATTATGTGGCTGGAAGCGAGAGGGGAGCACTGACACTTGCTACAACACGTGCGGCCTGTGAGAACAAGGCACTGAGTGTACAGATGACCTTTGAAAACTTGGCGCTGAAGAGCTGCAGTCACGCAATCGGTTAGCTCACCGTACTTATATGACAGTGCGAGAGGAAAACTTGGTACTGAGTGTACGAACCAAACTCGAAAGGCCCCGTGTTGTCCATGGATAGGAAATGTCCAGAACAGGACACTCTAAAGAGGCTGAGAATGGAAAAGTGGGGTGGGGGAAGGAGGACCGAAGAGTGGTAGCTAAAGGTCACAGTTTCTTTTTGGGGTGATGAAATGTTCCAGAACTGACTTTGGTGATGTTTGTACACCCTGCAGATACACCAAAATCCACCGAGTTAAATTGAAATGCACACTTGACACTGTTGAATTATATACTTGAAATGGCTGAATTGTATAGCGTACGAATTACATCTCGATAAAGCTGTTTAAAGAAATCATGCATGGGTGAAAGGTCCACTCAAAGTAAGATAAACCAACAGACTGTAATGGAATCGAGTGAAAAGGCATGGGTATGGAATTTCACTTACAGCCAGTCATTCATCACCCGCCCCTTATCAAAGAAACCCCAGCTGTCAAACTTCAGCGGGTGTCAAACAAGATCCCCCGTGCCACCCGAGGAGGCTGGTAAGGCTCATGTCTTTTCTAACTACCTGTAGGTACGACGCCAGGTTCTTTTCCTATTCTTCAACCAAAACAACATATTGCAACAGACTGAATGAAAAAACAGATAGAAGAATCCAGCTGCCTCATGTAATTTCTTTTAATGTGGAATGTTATTTTTAATCAAAATGTTATTTACATTAGCAACAAGATTTAAAAAAAAAAATGAGGCTTGAGACAGAGACTCAGTGGCTGAGTGTACGGGGCTCAGTTATAAAATAAGCAGTGTTATTCCCGAGCTGACATAGCTGCTCATTCATTCTTTCAAAGAGAATCTTTGACGCCCACTCTGTGCTGAGGTGATGATGGTGATGTGATCAATACTAGCTAATATCATAAACCAGCTACTATGTGTCAAATGCTTTCCCAATCTGAGCCATTTCACCCCCACAGCAGCCCCGGAAAGTAAGAATCGTTGCCTGCTCCAGGAGGCGGCCGCAGGGACAGGTCTGCGGTGTGTGTTCCAGAGTTGGAGCTCTGGCCAAGGTGTGCCCTGGCCCTTTGCTCACTGGAGGACCTGCACAAGAGGCAGGCAGGTAAGCTGTCTGCTGCTGCAGCTAACACACAGCCTCTCCTCGTGTGGCTTGGGGAGGTGGATAAATGACTGCTCCTAACATTCTTAGTGTGACTGAAGTACTGGTCACTCAGTCATTCATTTGTCCATTCATTCATTCATTCATTCACTCATTCAGTGTTATATGTCAAGTGACCACCATAAGCCAGAGTGAGAAGCTCTCCTGCAATCCCAGGATTTCTTAAACAAAATACACAAAGCACTTACACAAAGGATTGATATTTTATGATATGTATATGTAATCATTAGTATTAATTACATGTATATGTATGCATATAATGTGTATGTATCTGTATGTGTGCGTATATATATTTACATGTTTTAAACCAGACATCATTAATGCAAAGATAAATGCACCAATGAGAGAGTGAACAAAAATATACAAATAGACATTTCACAAAAGAGAAAAGATAAACATTGGAAAAAAAAAACCCAACTTAATTGGTAATTAGGTTGAGTGAAAAAAACCAAGTACTGGAGACTCCATAGAGCATGATATTCTTTATCAAAATGATGGCGAGAAAATCAGACAAATAATACAGTAGGCATCCATGTAGATGTAACACGACTATTTTCAGAGAAGGAATGAGAGGCTTCAGTCCTGCAGAGGTCTGCAGGAACGCGCTAGTTATCTTGCCAGTTCCCGGCTTGCATGGTGGATTCATGCGAATGCCTTGTGTTGTTAAAAATAAAGAAATGAGGCCTCATTTAATGGCTCATGCATGTAATCCCAACATTTTGGGAGGCTGAGGCAGGAGGATTGTTTGAATCCAGCAGGTCAAGACCAACCTGGACAACATGGTGAAACCTGTCTCTACAAAAATACGAAAATTAACTGGGTGTGGTGGTGCACACCTGTGGTTCCAGCTACTTGGGAGGCTGAGTTGGGAGGAACACTGGAGCGCAGGAGCTCAAGGCTGCAATGAGCCAAGATCACCCCACTGTACTCCAGTCTGGGTGACAGAGTGAAACCCTATCTCAAAAATAAATAAATAAAAATTAAAAACTAAATATATCAGCAATGGCAATAATAATAGACTAGGTGCAGTGGCTCACACCTGCAATCCCAGCACTTTGGGAGACCAAGGCAGGCAGATCACTTGAGGTCAGGAGTTCAAGATCAGCCTGGCCAACATGGTGAAACCTCATCTCTACTAAAAGTGCAAAATTGGGCCAGGCACGGTGGCTCATGCCTGTAATCCCTGCACTTTGGGAGGCTGAGGCAGGTGGATCACCTGAGGTTAGGAGTTCGAGACCAGCCTGGTTAACATGATGAAACCCCATCTCTACTATAAAAACGTACAAAAAATTAGCTGGACATGGTGGTAAGCACCTATAATTCCAGTTACACAGGAGGCAGAGGCAGGAGAATCGTTTGAACCTGGGAGGCGGAAGTTGCAGTGAGCCGAAATCGTGATACTGCAGTCCAGCCTGGGCAACAAGAGCAAAACTCCACCTCAAAAACAAAGAAATACAAAATTAGCCGGGCATGGTGGTGTGCATCTGTAATCCCAGCTACTCAAGACGCCAAGGCAGGGGAATCACTTGAACCCAGGAGGCGGAGGCTGCAGTGAACCAACATGGCACCACTGCATTCTAGCCTGGGTGACAGAGAGACCATCTCAAATAATAATAATAATAGCAAAAGAGGTCCACGCATGCCTGGGGAGTCACAAACACAGGCATAGTGTTCATCAAAGTATGCACACCTCAAGTCTGCGGATGGAAACAAACAAGCCATCCCGGGGTTCTCTCCTCTCTTCCCTGCACTCTGCCTGTATCCTGAACAGCAGCAGTGTGGACCCCGTGAGCCTCGGCTGGCAGGTAAGGGCCACCTTCTCTTCCCTGCACTGAGGTTCCCCATGGAGTCCAGGAGGAGAGGTGTTTCTTAAGGGTTTTCTGTGAGGCCAGGAATCAAGATGGAATCATTGCCTCATCCTCTGTTAACCAGAAAATTCTCTAGGCCAAACCCTCCCACAGCCTGTGGTCCCTTTACTCAGCCAAGAGTGCCCTTGTGTTTAGAGAGCAAGGTGGGTTCTGTGTCGTCCCACCAGGGTGGAGAAGTCAGAGAACACAGCTTCCCCCCGTCTGCCCCTGACAGTGCCCCATTACAAGAGTTGCCCAACTTCCTTAAATATTCTGTCACTTCCTCCTCATTTCAGTGGCTCTGTCACAGGAGCACCTGGGAAACCTCAGGTCATTGGCTCTAGGGCCTATGGGAGGGTCCCCACCCCGACCCTGAACAGGACAGGGGAAGGGAGAACACCCAGGGAACTGAATCGTGAAACGCGGGAAGTAAACACGGTCCTGCCATGTTTGCAAGGCGATTTCCCACAGTGAGCATGCAAAAAGAAGGGTCATAGCTGGAGAGTGCACGGCAGCTCCAAGGGCTCTGTTCCTTGTACTTTCTCTGGCGATTACTCTTATTTTTCTGCAGCTCAACAAGGACAGTCCGCTGATGTGAGCGTCTTGTGACTTCTCCCCCAGCGCAGCCTGCCTGGCAGCTTCCTGTGCTCCCAGCACGAAGCAGAAGATGACCTTCAGCCAGAGGAGAGAGTGCAGTGCGGATGAGAAGGACATGGCACAGGGACGGGCCTGGTTGTTGGGGCGGGGACAGAAATCCATTTCCCTCTTTTCCTCCAACCCAGTGTGGGCGACTTCCTGAGTCTCCACAGTCTGAGGCTCTCACTGACCTGCTCCAAGGTAAGGGATTCCCCGTATTTGGGGTGGAGGAGACATCCCCACCCCGCAAGGCTGCAGTGCAGGACAGACACGTGGTGGGCCCGGAGATGCTGCAGAGTGTTTGTCCTGGATTTTAACATATTTGCATCCCTGGTGGTCCCAGCGGCCGCTGCCAGGGACTAAAACATCTTTGCCAGATTTTCAAAAGGCCCAGGGAAGTGAGGGGAGAGCCCAAGGAGAGAGCACTGCTTTACCAGAGGCCCGATTTCCACACGAGGAGCTTTTCTCAGCCTGATCGCATCCTTGCTTCTAGGAAGGGCCCAGCTCAGGCTTTCAGCCTGAAGCCAGAGAGCACGAATGAGCCCTCCCCTGACTTCAAAAATAAAATCCCGGTACAGTGTGATGACCATGATTATTGTTACCATTATTACCAGCACTGCAATCATTTGTGCTCTGCCCTTTCATCCCAGAATTTCAAAGCAGAATGCTTCATAAGGAGATGGCTATTCATTTGTTCAGTGAGAGGCATCCTTTGAAAACGGAGCTTCCAGACACTTGACAAAAAAACAAACAAACAAAAAAAAAACTCCTCTGATTTGTACTCAGCGTGATTAACCAGACAGGGGCTTTCCTGAGCACAGATGTGTCTGTTGAGGGGGGTCCAGACTCAGGTCAGAGGCGAGCTCCCCAAACACTCCAGGAAGCAGCAGCTCAGGGGTCTACACTTCTGAGACTCTCTGCAGCCCCCTCCCACATTTACCCTCTTCCAAGGAGCTGCAGGATCAAAGGTCAGTCACAGGCACACCGGACCTGCTTTGCAGCAGAGCAGCATGGCTGAGGCTTAGGCTCTATCAGGTGGCTTTGCTTTGGAAATTCCAGCTGCGTGTCCTCAGGAAAGTTACTGAACTGCTCTGTGCTTCAATTTCCCCTTCTGTAGAATGGGGTTAATGATAGTTTCCGCCTCTTGGTGGTTCTGCTAGCTGAGTCATCACAGGCTGTGCCCTGGGAGTAGCATTGGGTACGGAATAAGCTCCCGGTGAGTTACAGCGATGCAGACTCCCGCCCTGGGGATGCCCCTCCCTGGCTTGAAATGCAGCAAGGGCTGCCTGTTGCTCTGACAGGCACAGCTCCTCTGCACAGCACAGCCTGGAGGCTCTCCAGGGCCGGGCCCCCTTTCCCTCCATGCCTGCCTCTTGGCACTCAGCACTGCACCTCCTGCTCCTCCCTCAGTGCTGCAATTGATGTGTGTGCAGGTCCGGGAGTCTTCCTGCTCGTCCCCAAAGCCCTCTGTCCACCTCACTCACCCCTAGGCCTCCACATCAGCCTGAGCTTCCTCTTGGAAAGCTCCTCTTTGCCCTCATGTCCCTTGGCCAACTGACCCTAGTCCTTCAGGACCTCTGTGAGTGTTACCTCTCCTGAGGAGCTTCCTGGACTCCCCCGTTTGGATTAGCTGGATCCCCCTCCAGTGCCACAGTCCACGGCAGGGTCTCCTCCTCCCCCTCCACTGTCATCTTTCTTTTTCTCCTGGTTTTTCCCCCTGGACCCTCGTTCCTGGCAGGGCAGGCCTTGCCTCTGGCCATCCCAGTGCCTACTCTCTGCAGGCACCCAGAGGCTGCCTGGAAAGCCTCTCCCAGCTCCACGAGGGGAGCTGCAGCCTCAGCCTTTATGTTGGTGTTTGAGAACAAGGTGACGTCCACACTTGTCAAGGAAGCTCCTTCCCTTGTATTGGGTTTTTCTTGGGTCAGAAAAGAGATGCCCACAGGGGGGCCACATGCTGCCTGGCTCACCAAAGGTGCCACGTCCCTGGCTACAGGGAGGATGGATGGGTGTGTGAGAAGGTGAGTGGATGGTGCCTGCACAGGTGGGTGGCACAGTTCATTCTGGCTGAGGCTGAAGCCCCTCTTTGTCCTGCAGCTGAGGCCCCCAGGTCACCTGGTAAACTCATTCCCCTGTGTCATCATAAAACCCTTGGACAAATTAGTGGAAAACAGAGAGTGACTTCTAGGGAGACTCCCAATGAGCAGACAGCTCCTTTCATTGTAGTTAAATACTGTAAATAGCAAGTTCATTCTGGAAACATTATATACAAGAATTTTGGCCAGCACAGTGGTTCACACTTGTAATCCCAGCACTTTGGGAGGCCAAAGCCAGTGGATCACTTGAGGTCAGGCGTTCGAGACCAGCCTGGCCAACATGGTGAAACCCTGTCTCTACTAAACGTGCAAAATTTAGCTGGGTATGGTGGTGCACACTTGTAATTCCAGTTACTCGGGAGGCCAAGGTAGGAGAATCACTTGAACCTGGGACGTGGAGCTTGCAGTGAGCTGAGATCACACCACTGCACTTCAGCCTGGGCAACAGAGTGAGACTCTGTCTCCAAAAAAAAATGAGAATTTTACTCGACAGTAGGCCCCTGACTGCGTTTGAGTGACGTGGCTGAGAACAGGAAGGTGGTTAAACCAAGGGACCATGCTGGATAAGGACCCTGCACTGGAGTCAGTCACAAAGGTCAGGAAGCAGCAGGGTATCCTTGTTCTTCATATTATCCATTTATTAGCTGACATATCGATCCATTTATTTTGTAAAAACTATTGCGCTTCCGCTCTACTGGGGGGGGGGGGTCACCCAGTAATATGAAACCATGAACTATGTAAGAGAAAAGACATAGACATAACGAAAAGCTGTAAAAGAATTATGGTTGGCCAGGCTCAGTGGCTCACGCCTGTAATCCCAGCACTTTGGAAGGCTGGGGGCGGGTGGAACACCTGAGATTGGGAGTTTGAGACCAGCCTGGCCAACATGGTGAAACCCCGTCTCTACTAAAAATACAAAAAAATAGCCAGGTTTGGTGATGCATGCCTGTAATCCCAGCTACTTGGGAGGCTGAGACAAGAGAATCACTTGAACCTGGGAGGTGGAAGTCACGGTGAGCCAAGATCACTTGTGACATTGTACTCTAGCCCAAGTGACAAGAGCAAAACTCCATCTCAAAAAAAAAAACAACATGGTTTGGGGTTGCACAGGTCCTCTGGAGACTGCCTAGCCCTACTGCTGTTTTTAGTTAGTGAAGACTAGGTTGTAGCCTGAGGGCACAGAGAAGCCTAGACACTAGCCTGAGGTCACACCACATCTGCACGTGATCGCTGCGCTGTGCTGCAAGCCAGTCCTGCAAACTGGTTTCCCCAATGAGCAAACCTCAGGCGCTCACCAGGCCGGGAAGACGGTCCGCAATATGCCAACTGTCAGCTCACGGGCCCTCCTGGCAACCGGTCCGGTGCAAATGGCCAGTTAACCCCAATAAAGTGTGTCCAGCTCCTCCCCGTACAGAAGCCCCAGTGTGCCATCTGGAATTTAAGAGCAAGAGGATACATTCCACTTCTGGAGGAAGGGCTTCCCTTCATCTTGGGTGCTGGAGATTCACGGCAGTGGTTCTGTTGTAGGTCCCGACAGGGAGGAGTGGTCCAGGCTTGCAGACAGGATCTCTCGAGGTTCAGCCTTTCTGAAGTCAGCACTGTAGAGACAGGCAGGTTTCCATAAATTGCCTGTATGTACCTGAAGAAGATTGTACTATTTTGGGCTCTGGAGACTTTTAAAAACAAATTAGAGGCAAAGCACAATAGCTCAGGATGTCTGACTCATTCAGAAGAAAAGCAGGCCCCACCTTCCATGCAAGAAGAGACCCAGGATGCAGAGAGACGGGCTTCCCAGTGGGAGGACTCGGCCGCAGGAAGTAGGTGGCAAAGTTGTTTATTCGGAGCTAACAGGAGCCTATCCACTGATGTCCACGGTTCCTCCCTGCATAGGTCACGCCAGTGAGGAATGAGCAATGAAGCTGTACCTTCTGGAAGCTGAGAGGAGGCTGGTGGGATTGGAGGCAGTAGCACCCCAAACCCCTGATGCTGCCTGAATGTAGTGGCACTTGACCCTGCTGTAAGGAAGCAGTGAGGGGCTGGGCATCCCCCAGGGCCCCGGGTCCCCATGGCTTGCGTCGGGAGTTACTGGTGGTGTTCGTCATGGTTCACAGGCTCCTGGCTGGGACAGTGTCATGTGGGAGGAGAGCTGGGGAGAAGGCAGAGCTCTGGGGGACAGAAGAGGGGAACCAGCTCCAGGGCTGCATGGCCAGCTTTCTGCAGCCTCCTGCTCCGAGTAGGACTTTGACATGACAAAGATCCCTCACAAACCTGGGGCAGGCTCCTGACCCCGCCTCCAGCAAGGCCCATGCAGGCGCTTCCCTATGACATCCAGTTTTGGCAAGCACCCTGCTAAGGCATTTTGGCCTGAACCCCCATCCCCAGTATCTGATCGGGCTCCTCATCCCCCACCCTCCCCAGGGGATGTGTGGCCGCCCTGGCCTGCCTCCAGCAAGGACCCTGTTAGGTGGCTTGAGCCCGAAGCCCCCGACCCCTGATGTTTCCTCCTAGTCACTTTCCATCTGTGGACCCCGCCCTGCTCCTTGGCCGCGAACCCCCACTGCCTGTCGGCGTTTGGAGCTGGGCCCAGTTCTATACTGAGGCCTTTCCATTATAATTGTTCCTGAATAACATCTATTTTTATCGCTTCACCTACAGTCTACCACGGGTTTCTTCGGCAGATGGGACCCCTTGGCCTGTGCTACTCAGCACTGAGGTCGCGTGTGCAGCCTCCTGTGTGGAAGCTTCTGTAGTGCCTGCTGCTCTGGGCACCCGGGGCCCAAGCCTGCCTGCCCCCTGAAGCCTTCACCAGGTCAGGCAGGTGGCACGCACCCTGTGAGCTCCCTCAGCCGGATGAATCAGCCGCTTCACCCCACGCACCAGGACGGACACCCTGCTTTGAGTGTGTTATGTGAGTTGTGTTCTGTGGTCTGTGGGTTGTGTGCTGTGTGCTATGTGGTGTGTGCTGTGTGCTGTGGGCATGGGGCCATGGGCTGTGGGCTGTGTGCTGTGTGCTGTGTGCTATGGGTGTGGGACCGTGGGCTGTGGGCTGTGGGCTGTGGGCTGTGGCCTGTGGGCTATGGGGTTGTGTGCTGTGGGTGTGGGGCCGTGGACCATGGGCCGTGGGCTGTGGGCTGTGGGGCTATGTGCTGTGTGCTGTGGGTGTGGGGCGTGGGCTATGGGCCGTGGGCTATGGGCTCCATGCCAGGCACTTAGGAACCGAGGCACAGCATGAGTGAATCCCTGCCTTCAGGAAACATCTAGTCTGGTGTGAGAACAGGTGCACACACCATCAGTCACAGTGCAGACACCATGGGGATCTGGCACAGTCTGGGCCATACAGAGATCATCTCCTGTGGCAGTGTGAACAATGTCTCCCAGAGATGGCCACGTGCTCCTCCCAGAGCCTCACATGGCAAAGGGCCTTTTTGGATGAGATAAATATAAGGTTTTCGAGGAGGGGAGATTATTTATCCTGGAGTAGTCAGGATTTCGGGAGTGATGATCGCATCACAGAGGTCTTTTTAAGAGGCAGATGGTGGGTCAGAGTCAGAGGGGGAGAGGGGAGGAGGAAGCAGAGGTGAGAGAGAGATCAAAAGACACAGCACTGCTGGCTTTGAAGATGGAGGAGGGGCCATGGGCCAAGGAATGCAGGCAGCTTCTGGAAGCTGGAAAAGGTAAAGAGAAGGAGGTTCCCGTGGAGCCTCAAGGAGCAGGCACTGCTGACATTTAGATTCTGGGACTTCTGGGCTCTGGAACTGTAAGATAACATATCTGTGCTGTGTTGAGTCTCTACGTTTATGGAAACTTCAATTTTGGTACAGCAGTCATAGGATGTAAACACCTCACCCCCAGCCCCCACCAAAAGTCTGTGGATGAAAGAAAACAGGTCCTGGGCTGGAAGGCATGCAGAAGTGGAGGCTGCGCGTGGGCACTTCCAAATCCTTCCTGGGCTGGACAGATGATCTCTCAGCAGAGGCTTGATGGGTGAGGAGGGGCCGGCCCAGGGCCGCAGAGGTCTGAAAAGTCAGCGAGAGCCAAGGCTGGTGCTCGGCCAGCAGCACATTCTGAGGCTGTGCCCAGAGTGACTGGCTCTAGCCACTGTCCTGGTTCAGGTGCTTTTGTTTTTCCCATGGTCCAGCACCAGATGTGATCTCATGACCCCCAGCCCAGAGAGGGCCCCTGACTGAGCAAAGCTCTTTCTTGGATTGTCCCAGGCCCCTCCTAGCCTGGTGGTGAGAGAGAGCTCCCAGGGTATGGTCTGGCCTCGGGAATGGGGTTCCAGTGGAGCCCCCACCCCATGCAGTAAAGACTGTGGCCTTGCCTACAGAGAGGTCTGCCCTTATCCTCAGCTTCTGGGAGGGACTCTGTTGAGAGTGTGGCTGCCACACCAGATCTTCAGGTGGGGTTGACCATGCCAGAAACACCGACCCTGTGGCTCAATCTGTCAGTCAATTGTGCACAGGGAATGGAGCTCTAGACACTGGGGGTTCAGGGGAGCTCATCCACCTGCGTGGTGGTGTTTCATGCCTCTTGTCACACCTTGATGCCAAGAACATGACACGCCCCGACTCCACAGGGAGAGGACGCCTGCAGCCTCAGGTCTGGAGTCCCCAGGCCTGGTCCCAACTCCTCCTTGGGTTGACTTTATCTGTGTCCTTCCCTGTGATAAACCATGGCTACGAGCAGAACAGCTCTTAGTGGGTGCTGAGTCTTTCTAGCAAGTTGCCAAACCTCAGGATGTTTGGGGAAATCCCCTAAACTTGCAGTCCATGTCAGAAGTGCAGGTAGTCTTCATCTGCATGAGACCGGGTCCCCTAACCTTTGCAGTTGGCCCAGCACTGGACCCTTCCATTCTGGAGGGGTAACCCTGGGGCCCCGCAGACCCCATGCGCTGACCTCCCTGCCTGGGTCTGACTGTGCTGGCTTCCTCGGCGCTCCCACCCCAAGAAGGGCTCAAGAACCGGGGGTAGCTGAACAACCGCTTTCCAGTTCTGGGTCCTTTGCTGTTCATTGTTGACTTTGAGGCTTTGAGTTTTCTATCAAACGTGAGTTAGAAAGTCAGCTGCACTGGTTGACCACCTCAAAAATGCAAATTGGTATAATTTCAATCAATACATGCAGCACTGAGCATTAAAAATGCAAATTTCCTGCCATGCAGAGAGCACGAAGGAACAGCACCTTGAACAAAACTGGGATGGCAGGAGAACCTTCCCATTTCCCCACGTGCACACGGGGCCCTTCTCTGGAACAGAGCATGGGGGCGTGGCCACAGGTCCAGGGAACAGACCTCAGGGGCACCTCATGGCCCAGCTTGGTCCACAGTGTTATCAAAAAACAAACAAATTCGGGCACAGTGGCCAGCCAAGCCGGAAAGCCGGGCCTGCAGCCCCTTTAAATCAACAGAAAGGTGGTCCCTTCCCCCCTAACTTGCTGTCCTCATCCTCTTCCACTTCCTTTCCTTTTCATCTGAGCCCACAGTGAGAACCACTGTGCTGGGTGGGGCCTCCAACTCCCACATGGAAGCAGCAGTGAGAGGAGGCCTGTGGGAAGGTTTGGGAAGCCACACCACAAGGTGCACCTGGTCCAGGAGCGGGGAGACCTCGGAAGCCCAGGCAGACCTGTCCGCCCCGGGTTATGCTGAGGGTGGGTGTCTGTCAGCGCCTTCTGCGTCAGCACACCAAACCTAGGGCCTGAGATTGGATGTGTGTGGGTTACAGAGCTCATGAGCACCCAGAGGTGACATTGATGTTTCCCAACCAGGTCTTCTTTCTGGAAAGGTGCCCTCCACTCTCCTGCCTTTGTTCATCTTTAAAATGAGACACAGTATCCCCTCTGGGAGGCAAGATGATTCCGGATAAGTAGCATGAATGCATAGCCCAGCCGGGACCTTACTCCGCCTGAGGTGCACAAATGCTGCTTGTCCTTCCTGGCCTCCCCAGATGCAGGAAACAAGCAGACAGTCCTGCAGGGCGGCCACCCAGGGCCAGGTGCGGGATAGCGATGGGGGGTGTCCACCCCCACCCCCACCCGCCACCAGGTGCTCTCCCTGCACCAAAAGCCTGCGTTTTTCAGCATCGCCCAGCTGACCCATGTCAGCGTGTGAATGTCTGACCTCGTCCACCTGAGTCTCAGCTCCCTCGGGTGGATGCCAGCTCTGCTTTTGCTTAATATTTGCCTTGCACAAAATGTTTTGCAATGAATGAATGAATGAATGAGTCATACCCATCTCTTAATCTGTTCAGAAACTCAGAATAATGAGACCTAGAATCCAAGGTCTAGTCTGACCTTTTACCTAGACGGAAGTCCCTGCCCGGTGCACCTGTGGAATGCATGCCAAGCTCCTGCCGGAACAGGACACTGGGTGTCTGAGCCTACTCTCTGTGGTGGGAAACAAATCACTACAGATTTAGAGGCTTAAGCCATATCCATTTATTACCTCACAGTTGCTGGGGGTCAGGAGCCAGGCTGGGTCCTTCGAGTGGGTCTCACAGAGCCTGTCAAGGTGTCAGCAGGGGCTGAGGGCTCCTCTGAGCTCAGGGTCCTCTTCCAAGCTCCCAGGGTTGCTGGCAGAATCGAGTTCCTTGCAGCTGTGGAGCTCATGGTGGCTTTCTTCCTCGAGACCAGTAGAAGAAAATCTGGGACTCTGGCTCGGGAGGGCCCTCACCCGATTAGGGCAGGCCCACCCAGGGGAGCAGCCTTTTGAAGGAACTCAGCATGAACTGATCAGGGACTTTCACGATGCTTACAAAAGTCCTACCGCTTTGCCATAGGTGATTGGCTTGGAGCAAATCACAGGTCCAAGTGTATGTGAGGGGAGGCATGCCCACGGGACCATCGAGAACTCTGCTGGCCGCAGCCTCCACAAGGCAGCCCCTCCCTGGCCTTCTCTGACTTGAGGTTTTCCTTCCCATGTGGTGAATCCCACGTCATCCCCACCCCCAACACTAGCTGCCCAGGACTCCCCTGCACAGTCCTCTGCTCTCAGCTCTGTGCAGCTCCTCCACGGCACCCACCCAGCCTGGGCTGCCTTCCTCCCGATCTGCCTGGAAGGCCCCTCCCCCAGGACCTTGCTTTCCTCACTGCCTCCCCATGTCACATCTGAAAGCAAAGGCATCCCAAGCATAGCTCTGCTCCTCCACTCCATCCTGGCCACCACCAGACTCAGACTTCAGACTCTTCCCTGACCCGGCCTTTGTTTCAGGACCTGTGTTTTTGCTGCGTGGCTCCTATCTAGCCCTCTCCCTTCCTTCCAAAGCAGCATCCTGCCCAGCCTGCCCCCTCGGCCTTAGCAAACGGACACCCCCCATTGCTATCCTGCACCTGACCCTGGGCAGCCACCTTGCAGGACTATCTGCTTGTTTCTTGTGTATCTGGGGAGGCCAGGAAGGACACGCGACACTTACATACCTCAAGAGGAGGAAGGTCCGCGCTGGGCTGTGCACTCACACTACGTATCCGGAATCGTCTTGCCTCCCGGGGAAGATATTGTGTCTCAGTTTAGGGATGAACAAACTCAGGCTTTGAGAAGTGAAGACCTGCCTGGGTCTCAGAGCAGCAGGATAAAATATAGGGTGCCCAGCGTCATTTAAATTTTGGGTAAATGTATGATACCCATCTCCTAAACTGTCCAGAAACTCAGAATAATGGGTTCTAGATTTGAAGGTCTAGTTTGCGCTTTTACCTAGACAGGAGGTCTAGAACCCATCTAGAACCCACCATCCTAGCCCGGGCTAGGTGGGTGACCTGGGGGAGCTGCATGGAACTGAGAGCAGAGGACTATGTGGGGGGGTCCCAGGCTGGGAGTGCCTGTGTGGCGGAGGGGAATGAACACAAACGTAAGCTTACGTATGGCTCACATGTAGCGTCGGCGACACTAGCATATGCTCTCATTTATCTGTTACGTATGGCTCACATGTAGCATGGGTGACACTAGCACATGCTTGTTTATCTGCTTATGTATGGCTCACATGTAGCGTGGGCGACACACTAGCACGTGCTCGTTTATCTGCTTATGTATGGCTCACATGTAGCGTGGGCGACACTAGCACGTGCTCTCATTTATCTGTTACGTATGGCTCACATGTAGCATGGGTGACACTAGCACGTGCTCGTTTATCTGCTTACGTATGGCTCACATGTAGCATGGGTGACACTAGCACGTGCTCGTTTATCTGCTTACGTATGGCTCACATGTAGCGTGGGCGACACAGTAGCACGTGCTCGTTTATCTGTTATGTATGGCTCACATGTAGTGTGGGCGACACAGTAGCACATGCTCGTTTATCTGTTACATATGGCTCACATGTAGCATGGGTGATACACTAGCACGTGTTCATTTATCTGCTTATGTATGGCTCACGTGGAGCATGGGTGACACTTACACTAGCACATGCTCATTTATCTGTGACTCAGGTGGAACTGGGCATCTGTATATTTATCTGCTCTACCTGGATCACACAGATAGTAACTAACACAGAAGGAGGAAGTGGAGTCCACGTCTGACGCCGGACATCAGGCTCTCGTCCTCTGGTTTGCTGTCTGCCCGGGGACAGGGACTTGTCACCACCTCTCATTCTGCTTCGCTCCACTGGTGAGCAGGGCCTCCAGCAGCAGCCCTGGGCAGCCTGGTGGCGAACTCCGAATGCTTGTGCGTGAGTCGGACAAGGTCCTTGCCATTGTGGGGATGGCTTTCCTGCCAATGTTGTCCACAGTGGCTCTCGCTCTGCAGTGCAGGCTCAGCTCCCTGCACCAGCTGCCCCAGCTGGTCCATTTTGGAAGACCTCACCCCCATACTTGCAGCCCTTGTTCTCTGCCTTTGCTGCTTATCAATGCAGAGCAGGCTTGGTAGGTGAAACCCTCAAATGAAAAGCTATGCAGAGTAAGCATTCTAGGGTCCATCTGTGCTGAAAGTGGGGGCGATGCTCCCTCCTTTGCACACCACTGCCCATCTTAAAGTGTCAAATATAAGTGGTTACGCTGATGGACAGTTTTATTCCCTCCAGCAGCTGACAATTCCACAAAATGGAGAGATTTTAATTTAAAGGGGCACAATAAAGAAACCCTTCTGGATGCTCAGAGTCTCAGGAAGGAGGCTGAGGATTCCCCAGAAGCCTGTTGCTCAGTAGTTAAGGAAGCCGTGCCCTTGGCTGGGGGCCCGTTCTGGCCATGGGTAACTTGTTTCTGGAGAGCCTAAACTGAGAGTCTCTTGGCTTGGAGCAAGTGGCTACTCCCCTGCAGCGGAACAGGACCCACTCTGTACTTAGGGGTTGAAGATACAGAGCTGCTCCGTTTGTCTGTTTTTGTTTTGTTTTGTTTTTTTGTCGGTTTGGGACTGTTTTGATGTCCTTGTGGGTGGTGAGACGCTCTGGCCTCTACATTTGCAGTTGGGATGCCTGTCAGAGCTCACCTGTACCCCCAGCACAGCTTTGAAGTCCTGGACTCCTCTGTGAGGTCACTCACCCCCTGTCCCCATAGAGGAAGCTCCAGATGGCAGGCACCCCAACTTGCCCACGCCAAGGAGCTGCCTGCTGTGCTCATGTCTGTTTTGTCTCTTCTGGACACTTCCTTCCAGAGGCCAGGGCAGGGCTTACACCTGCTCCATCGTCCTTGCATCATCTACAGGGCCAGGTTCTTTCCACTCAGCAAATGTTGGGTCTTGGTGACACATGCTGGTTGGTCTCACCATCCCCAGGCCCTGGGGCTCACCTCACCCACCTCCCCCCTTTCACCTCCCACCTCCCACCTCCCCCTCTGCGCCCCAGCAGCACAGAACCTGTGGTTTCCACTTGCCCGCGCTCAGGCACCCAGTCCTCCGCCTGACCCCAGCACCCAGCCACCTCCAGGAAGCCCTCCCTGGCCAGCCACCTCTTGGCCAGGTTAAGGACCCCAGCCCTGCACAATCTCAGCATGTTCTCTGCACTTCACGCTACAACTATCTGTTTTGTTCCCTCTGTATGAGTGGCAAGTCTGAGGTCTCATTCAGACTTCAAAACATGCACCAAGAAGCACAGTGCCTAGAACACGGTGCCCAGTGAATCTTGGCCGAACGAAACAATGGCATCTGCCCAGGCTGCCAGCATGGCTTCCAGGGAGCAGGAGTGCCTCGGTGGAAAACCCTTCCTGATCCCAGCAACTTGGGGTCAGGCCCCACCTTCCACTCCCTCTTGGATCCACTGGGGCAGGCCCAGGAGACACTGACTGCATGCTCAGCTCCACGGGCCATGGTAAGTGCTCTTTAAAAGCATAACTGGGGGATGAAGGCGGGTGGCTCCCAGAACACAGTGCTCTCATTAGCTCATTACAGACCCAGTACCATCGAGGGGAGGGAGGTGCAGGTTTGCTCCGGGCTTGTGCCGCCTCCTGCCAGAGAACCTTTGGAATTAAGGCATCGGCATTAATTGCAGTAGAAGCTCTGAAAAGCCTTCCTGTTTATGATTGCCCAGCGTCCTCTCTCGCTGCATGTCTGTGTGACATGCCTCAGGGAGATACTGATTTATTTTTGGTTGTAAGTGAGAGTTAACACCGCATTGGCGGCTGCTCCCTGTAGATGTGGGGATGTGGCCTTTTCCCGGAGGCAGCAGAGATAGTTCAAGCACAGTGTCTTTCTCTCTAGGGGGACTCAGAAGCAGGAAGGAGCCTGGATCGAGCTGCAGCCTGGTCTTGTCTGTCACTCCTCGGGAAGCATGAGACAGAGGAGATGCCACTCACTGTGGAGAACCGAGGGTTGCAGGGAGCTTTAAAGATGCCCCAGGCCCCAGTCTCTGCTGCCCAGCCCAGGTCTGGAGCCACCTCAGAGTGAGCCACGCACGTGAGGGCAAAAGCAGGTGGAGTCTAGTGGCCACCTGGACATGGGTCAGACATGTGGGAAGTAGAAAAGCTCCTGTTTAAAGTTTCCTTTCTTGTTAAAGAACAAGTGTGCTAGTAACTGTGAAGCTCTGTCCTACGTAGCTGTTAGACCTGCCATGCTTACAGGCACGTAGTACATTCTATGTCCTTGTACTTTAACCAAGATACCTGGGCTGGACATGCTCACAGGCATGTCCCAGCTCTCCATGGCTTTTACCTGTTTAGAAGTTTTAAGTTGTTGACCAATCGGGTTTTAGTTTACATTGTGAGGTCTGGCTCCAACCAGCGGAGACCAGACACAGCAGTAAGGATGACCCCAAATGCATAAGGCACAAATTTGTGGGTTTTCTTTTGTTCTTTTTACTCTCATTGCAAGATGGCTAGTGAGGGTGCCCTTTCTGCAGCCCAGGAAGTAAAAATTGTGTTGCTGAACGATCCTTTGTCTCAGTGCTGATTCTTCTTTGCGGCACTGAACATCTGTTTCCAACAAGACACATTCAGGTTCCAACCTCCACTCAGAACATGGTAACTTGTGACCTGGCCTGAGTCAGGAAGGGTCTCTGGGTTTCAATTTGCAAGAAATGGCATGGGAGTCAGGGGGTAGAGGTGGGGGCATGTTACCTGCCCAGCGAAGTATGGTGTTCAGACAGCATCCCTCTATACAAGAGCCATGGCCTCCCCCTCTGTGGATTCTTGCAAGAGTGTCGGTTAGCTGCCCATTTCACCCTGGCAGCGGCCAGGTGGCTCACCGGGCAGACTCCCCAATTTCTCACTTGTAGTTCTTTCTTGTAGAATGTGCCGAAAAGCGGCACCCTGAGATATGGAGGAATGGGCTGCAACAGCCAGGTGCTATTCCTGCCCCACACCCCCCTGAGAAACAGATGTCTTCTAGCTCAGGGGGCCCCGTGGACCTGAAGTATGAAACTCAAGGTGGGCTACTTTGCAGGGTCCTTCAGCTGTGGTGCAGGTGGGGCCCTAGCAACAAGAACCCTGCCATGCTGTGCAGCTTTCCTGAGCCTTGGGGAACAAGCTTGCCATGATCCCTCAGCTCTGCTGCCTCTTGCTGCCCATCTATGAGGTGTAGAACTGCTCCATGTAACCTGTGGGCGAGTGTTCTAACTCACCAGGTCAGACAAGTCAGTAACCAGTGCACCGGGAGCCCGCTTCACAGCCGCCCCTCCCCTGTAGCAGGGAGGAGATGCCACCAAGGCAGGGCCTGTCTGGCTGTGATACAGCCTGGAGATGAGAGCTGTGGGGGTGCCTCCATAGGTTCAGTGGTGTCTTCCCATTTCTCCTGATTTCCTGGTACCCCTTCCCATAACCCATAGTCATGCGTCTGCCAGCAGCTGGACACTGGGCAGAAGCAATGGCCTCCACCTCCGGGCCTGGCCAATCAAACCCTCCCAGAGGACACCCCCATGGGCTTTCCTGTTTTGGTGACAGGGATGGAGATGGCCTTCTGGGTGAGCTCTGGAAGAGTCACACGTGGAAGGGGTGTGGAACCATGGAACAGGGTCCCGGAAAACCCTGGAACTGTGACTCCCAGACAGGGCCAGACACAAGCAGAAAGTAAAATCTATTCTGCCAACTCCCTGGGACTTATGGAACTGAGGAGAGCTGGGAAGAGACAGCAATCCCGGCCCGCCCATGGCCACCTCGACAGCCCACGCACAGGCTGAGAAGAGGGAAGATCCCACAGAAAGAAGGTGAGCAAGAGGGAGCAAACCCAGGCACTCTGGCAGGTGGACTTTATCTGTCCTATTAGGGAGATTGGCTTGGTTTTCTGCCTGGTGGGTGCCCCTTGTCGCAGGCATGTGGTGAGGATTTGCTGCAATGGTGGAGGTGACACTCAGCACGTGAGTAATTGGTTCTCATGGACATTCACTCCCTTTTGCTGTCTCTTCCCACTGGCCTAAAGGAGCAGCATTTGTGCAAGGGAGAGTGACAAAAGGGTGCTTCACGCATGGCATCCGGCCCAGCTCCCTGGGAAAAGCCACCATGGGAGGATTTCTGCCAGGACCGGGCTGAAAGGCTCTCCTGCAGGCTGCCTGGGCCAGGGCCACTCACAGAACCTGCGGGGGGGGGCAGGGACAGCTGTGGTCTCTGTAGAAATAAGTGGAGTGGGGTCAAAGGCGGGGACAGGAGGTGGGAAGGAAAGCAAAGCAGGTGCTGGCGGGAAGGAGAGTCTGCTTGGGAGTCTGGAAGCACTGGTTTGCTGCTCACCTGCACGGGACTCACCTGGGAATCTCATTGGAATGCATAGTCATGAGTTCCTGCCATGAGAAATTCTAATTCAGTGGGTCTGGTAAGGGCTCGGACAGGTCTGTTGAGGCCCAGGCTGAAGAGCAGTTGTAAGAGTAGTTGTGGTGGCTCCCAGGCGGTGCTGGGTCTGCTACCCTTTCCAGAGTGGCTGGATGAGGGGAGGGTCAGCTCTGTGTTCCAGGGGCTCATGAAGATGGGACGCCCCTAGGCAGTGTTGCTCGGTCATCCCTGTAGGGTGACCATCATCTGGTGACCTGTTGCCCTGGCACCTGGTCTGTTTGGCATGTGTGCCAGATTTTACATTTTCTAAACAAGTTTATTGTGAACATTCATATTAAAATAAGCAGGACATGGCCTGGTAGACTCCACTGCGACCCCTGCTTTCGGCAATGACCTGGTCCCCTAGTGAACGAGACATGTGCAGTGAGCAGTTTTAATTTAACACGTGGATCCAGACCACTGGCAATGACCCGTTCAGCTTGTCTTCAGCTCTTCCCAGACCCAACAGCCACCACTCCCTAGCCAGGACTGCACTCAGACGCTGCTGAGGAAGCTGCTTGGACATAAACCCAGGGACAACGACCTCCTTCTGGCCTCAAGCAAGAAGGGAGAAATGTCCCACATTACTCCCCCTCCACCTCGTGGCCAACACTTGGTGGACCACCAGCTGTGCTATGGCCTGTGCTACACCTGAAAGATGTTAAAGCCACCAGAGACCAGTCACGTGATGTGTGGGATGTCACAGGGCGAGCATGTGAAATGCGATGAAGAGACAGAGGCTGGGAGACCCTAAACACAGACAGAGAGCTGCCCACACCCTGGCTACAGGTGACATTGCTGTTTTGTGGGATAAATACACAATGAGTTATTTGTTTTCTTGCTTGCTAATGCTTTTAAAGTGTTGTGAGAAACCCGTTTGGTAGCAATGAGCTAAAATAATGAAAGTACGTGTTTAATGAAAAAGCACTGGCCGGACGCAGTGGCTCACGCCTGTAATCCCAGCTCTCTGGGAGGCCAAGGCGGGTGGATCACACCTGAGGTCAGGAGTTCAAGACCAGCCTGGCCAACATGGTGAAACCCTGTTTTTACTAAAAAATGCAAAAAAAAAAAAAAAATAGCTCGGTGTGGTGGCAGGCACCTGTAATCCCAGCTACTTGGGAGGCTGAGGCAGGAGAGTTGTTTGAACCCCAGAGGCAGAGGTTGCAGTGAGCTGAGATCGCACCATTATGCTCCAGTCTGGGTGACAGGGCAAGGCTCCATCTAAAAAAAAAAATAAAACACACAGAGTTTCCATCGGCTGTTAATATTGACGATGAAGCTGCAACTTGTACAAAGTATGTATTGGCATTGTTTTGACCTTGGATAAGCTGAAGGATCGTCATCTGCTGAAGAACCAGCCGCATCTACTTCCAAAGGCGGTGGTCGAAGGCTTTGTGGAAGACAAGGGCTTGCAGCATGTGGCTCCAGAAGGTCAGAGCATGGCTTTTCATCGCGATCAGATGCCGCTCTTCGAAACTCAGCTCACACTTGGCAGCTAAGCTTCCCTGTGCCAATTGTAAAGTAAAGCAGTTAACTGTTCATGTGCCAGCACCACTTGCAGAAGAAAAACTCAGCAAATGATCACTGAAGCCAGTTTCAAATGGTAACATCTGATCGTTCACACAGGAAGTCAAAGTCATTGAATTCTAGGAATGAGCCCATGTTTTTCAATCCCATTTGTGAACTAAAAAAGCAGCTCATAGAATTTCTTCCTGGTCTGTAATCCCAGCATTTTGGGAGGTCAAGGAGGGCAGATCATCTGAGGTCAGGAGTTCAAGACCAGCCTGGCCAACATGGTGAAACCCTGTCTCTACTAAAAATACAAACATTAGCTGGGTGTGGTGGTACACGCCCACAGCCACAGCTACTCGGGAGGCTGAGGCATGAGAATCTCTTGAACTGGGTTTGGGGGGCAGAGGTTACAGTGAGCCAGGATAATACCACTGCACTCCGGCCTAGGTGACAGAGTGAGACTCTGTCTCAAAAAAAAAAAAAAAAAATTCATTGTCTCAGGGGAGACATTTGAGACTCTGGTGAGGATTGTTGCAAATTTAGTTAAAAGGTTCCACACTGAACATGAGATTCCTTGTTTCATTGTGGTGGTCACATCCTGACATACGAGTTAACAGGGTCCGGGTAGAAATGATATTCTTATTATATAAATGTACCCACGAAGCAAATTGAACCACGAGTGGGTTGTAGGACACCTTCATTCAAAGTTGCGTCCAACAGGTTGGAAAAATCCAATGATCAAATAATATAAGCTGTAGTTGCCCAAACTTACAAATATTTATATGCATACATCTGGAGTAGCTGAATTATAACACTTCGTGACAAAGCTGATTTTGTCTTTTCTTTTTTTGAGATGGAGTTTTACTCCTGTCATCTAGACTGGAGTACAGTGGTGCCATCTTGACTCACTGTAACCTCCGCCTCCCTGGTTCAAGTGATTCTCGTGCCTCGGCCTCCTGAGTAGCTGGGATTACAGGCATGTGCCACCACACCCAGCTAATTTTTGTATTTTTAGTAGAGACAAGGTTTTACCATGTTGGCCAGGCTTGTCTCGAACTCCCGACCTTAGGTGATCCACGCACCTCAGCCTCCCAAAGTGCTGGTATTACAAGCGTGAGCCACTGTGCCTGGTCACAAAGCTGATTTTGAATTGTCGAAATATTTCAGTGTGCAGCTCTGCCCTGTCCCTGTGCCCATCACGAGGGAGATTCCACAAACTGAGCCCATGGAAAGCTGCCTTGTAAGTCCGTCTGAGGATCCTACAGCAGTAGTGAACCCTTTTGTAAACAAATCCTCTAAATTTTGGTTACATCAAATGATTGAATTCAATAAATAGAGCAATGACAACAACAAACTTCGGTTTTTAAATTTTTATTTATTTATTAATTTTGAGACTGTTTCCCTGTCACCCAGATTGAAATACAGTGGCAAAATCACAGCTCACTGCAGCCTCGACCTCCTTGGTCCAATCACACCTTCCATTTCAGCCTCTTAAGTAGCTGTAACTAAGATGTGTTGCAGCTGATTTTTGTATCTTTTGTAGAGATGGAGTCCCACTCTGTTGCCCAGGCTGATCTTGAACTCTTGGGCTCAAGTGATCCTCCCGCTTCAGCC